ACACACATATTTTTACATCAAGTCATTATATTAATTACAATCTGAGGGCCCTGCCTGACAACCCAGGCAGAAAGTCCAGAAAATTTGGCTCTCAAGCCCTATACTTAACCTGTAACTTTCTAGGACACCCTAAAACCTGTACATGGGGGGTATGGTTTTACTCAAAGACTTCGCTGAACACAAATATTAGTGTTTAAACAGTAAAACATATCACAACGATGATATCATCAGTAAAAATTCATTTTTTTTTCATTTTTCACACACAAACTGTACTTTCACTGACAATATAATTGTTGTGATATGTTTAACTATTTTAAAACACTAATATTTGTGTTCAGCGAAGTCTTCCGAGTATAACAGTACCCCTCATGTACAGGTTTTATGATGTTTTTAAAAGTTACTGAGTCAAATATAAGGCTTGAATTTCCTTTTTTTCACATTGAAATTTGCCAGATTGGTTATGTTGCCTTTCAGACCGTATGGTAGCCCAGGAATGAGAATTACCCCCATGATGGCATACCATTTGCAAAAGTAGACAACCCAAGGTATTGCAGATGAAGTATGTCCAGTCTTTTAGTAGCCACTTAGTCACAAATAGTGATGTCCCGAACGGTTCGCTGGCGAATAGTTCCCGGCGAACATAGCTGTTTAAAAAGGGTCCCTTCCGTGGGGCCTCTAAATACCATTGGGGGGACCTATTGTGCCTTCGGCCCCCCACCCCCAAGCAAGGAGCTGTGTGGGTGGGGCCCTAAATGAACAATAAGGGGGGAGAGTTCAGCTCTCACCCCCGCGCCGGGCGGGTGGGGGGCCATATTGATAATGGGGCCTATTGCCTCTCGCCCTGCACCCCAAAAGCGCAGGTGGGGCCATATTGATAATGAGGGGAGACTCCATGCCCCCGACCCCCGGCGCAGCGCGCAGGTGGGGACCATATTGATAAATGAGGGGGACCTCGCCCCCCACCCCGCACGCATGTAGTGGGGCCAATTGATAATGAGAGGGAGGGGACCTACTGTCCCCCCGCCCCCACCCCCAAGGGCGGGTGTGGGGCCACAAAGAGCACGAGGGGACCCCTACTGTCTCCCCCGGCCCCCACCCCTGGGCTGCAGGCCCTAAGTAAATCCCCCCCCCCCCAAGGTGACTAGGGGTCCCCAAGCTCCTAGTCACCCCCCCCAAATAAAAAGTCCCTACCTACCCCCCTCACCCTTAAAAATAGTGAGGGAGGAATAAAATAACTAACCTGTAAAATAAAAGTAAACTTACCATTCGACGTCTTCTTTTTTCTCAAATCTTCATTTTTCAGCCCCAAAAAAGGCCAAATAAAAAACCATCATAACCATCGAATTGAAAATAAAATAAAAATCCCGAGCGCAAAAAAAAAAACCTGACGAAAAAGAAAAAACCAGAGCGCAAAAAAATAATCCATCTTCACCCATGGAGGGCTCCGCGCAGACTGAGCTCTGCAGGGCGGGGGAAGGCTTATAAAACCTTGCCACGCCCTGCAATTAGGCTAAGAACACTCTGATTGGTGGGTTTAAGCCAATCAGAGTGCTCTTTGTCATTTTACACAGCGTGGGAAAATTCAAAAGAACTTTCCCACGCTGTGTAAAATGACACAGAGCACTGTGATTGGATGGCTTAAGTTAGGAAGGATCTTTGTGACGGAACCCTGGCACTCCGACTGAGTACCTCCGCCAATCGATGCTCCTAGTGCTCGCTGAGGACTCCAAGCGACACCATCAGCACTGCAGACCCCACTTCCAGCGATGCAACTGCGCCGGGGTCTCTGCTGTTTCCACCCACCCTGGACCCAAGGCCAGGATCCAGCTTCCAGTGGGTGAACCTCTCTTTTCCCAGAGAGCAGGAACAGGAACAAATCAAGCTATTGCAAGAGCTTCCTCTGGGGAGTAAGTGATTATAGCAATCCCCAGAGTGTAGGTATCCCTTCCCCCAAACATGAGCCAAGGCTTAATGCTGGAACAAGACTGATTTACTGGCACACAGAACTCACAATTTATGCAACACAAAACTCCTCCTCTGGGCCAGGCTAGATAATTGAGTTTCTACAATACACAATGTTCAATTATCTGCTGGCCAGAAATAATACAGTTTCATAAAACACACAGGGACCCCAAAACATGCAATAACCCCATAAAAAGTATATCCTTGGAACCGGGGGATCTGGGTGAACCACATATCCAAAATTCACCCAGATCCGTTCAGTACTTTGGAAAATACAGTTTAATGCAGATTCTGCAGAACATATACAGGCTAAATGAAAAACAA